ATTGTAGATAGTGTTATAAAGCCAATTATTCAGAACACTGCCCAATTTAATGGTTACTATGGTTGTGGTTTTTGTTACCACCCTGATTTGTACAATGATGGATGTGTCAGTTATCCAGCAGATGTTGAGTACAAAGAGGGAAATGTTGTGAGACATGAAGCTTGTTGTCAGAGAGAGGAGGAGTGTTAATGGTGTAAATTTTTTAAATAATGACTGGCTTTGTTCTAGATTACATGCATCTTGTTTTGCTTGGTGTCACAAAGCAAATAACCAACTTATTGTTCACCTGGTTTTTCTAAAAGTATTATATAAGTAAAACCTACATTATTGAGGGTGATAAACAGTAGGGTATGGTAAATAAAACCACCACCATACATTACAAGACTACCATGTTCTTTATATGAAAGACAATTCTAAAAAACTTTTGAATGGAAAGCATGGCTCTTGTTCTATAGCTTACTGTGCTTAGAAGGTGTTTTACCCAAAGAATATTTCTTTGTTTGTAGAAGCTGTTTATATACAATTGAGAGATAAAAAAAAACAACAACACCACAATAAGTTAACCATGCTGACGTTATTATTCTATAATTTGAGTTGAAAACAATTTCTATATGATTTACATAATGTGACATTTAATATACATTTATTGACCCATTTGTGTTCAAGTGCTAAGAACTGCCATGGACTCATGTTGCTTTTGCATTTGAATCTGCAAATGGTCAATTGGTAAAATTAGTAAAAAAGTGCAAAAGGTTTTCTGCAGTTGATTGTGAACAAGTTCCTGTTTAAGATGGCTTTACCAACTTTCTCAAACTTATACAAAATTAGAAGTGGCATTCTTTTGTAACAGCCTTCAACAGCATGCACCATTAAAATGTACACACTTAGTTGATGATAAAATACATTTACTTGGGTATATAGCTGTACAAATTACTTTGAGTTGGGATGAATCTGGGGTAGTTGCAGGAACTGCTGTTTATATTCCAGAATCATTTAAAGTATTTTAGCAAATGGTTGTGAATAAGCAACTGATGTGTTCAGTAGAATATAAAAAGAAGGTAAAATCAGATGATAGTGTTGTACAGCAAAAAAAGAATGCAAATAGTATTGTATTTAATATTTTCACTTGCTCATGTGACAATTCAGAGAAATGTTTAGTATTGTTGAAGGAATTCAGATTATTAGTTGTGCCAATTGTGAGTGACATGTTGTCAAGTGCTAGGGTGAATAATATTAACCTTTGTAGGGAACAGAATAATATTAGAGCAGTTCTGCAAACTAATATTATCTCCAAATGTATTGCTATAACTTTCACAGATACTAGCTACATTTATTTTTGTGCCTTTCCTAATGTTCATGAATGAGACTGATTTAATGATTTGAGGAATGAAGCACTGCAATTTAGCAATAAAAAGATACATGTATATCCATTTTGAAATAAATAGTCATGTTTTCCACTTTTTTTTATTGTCTTGTATTATTAATCTGATGCCAAAAAAGTAACACATAATCAGAAATCTTTCTAATTTTAGTAAATTATCATCACATTGTAGAGTGAGGTAGGAAATTGACATATTTATATCATGTCAATTTTATTACTTTCAGCTTAAACATACAGGGTGTCCACAGTGAAAGAAACAACTTTGAAGCCTTATATATGTTTATTGAATAATGCAAACAAAGTAATATTCACACAGTTTCATTTGGTATATGGTACATATCATTCTACCTGCGGTGCTACGAACAGCAAAAGCACGTCTAAGTATACATGGCCTACAAAGAAAAATGGGCCGACAATCCTGTTACGCATAAAACCACTCCAAATGTTAACTTTTGAACTGTCTCTTTTGACCTCATGGGTGTCATGAATTCTCTGCTCCCCAGATGTGGTAGTTGTGTTTATTAATGCACCCACATATGTGAAATGTTACTTTGTCAGAGAACATGATCCAGTTCAGGTACTCAGGGTTGTTGTGCAGACTGGAGCACATGCATGGCAAAATTTCTTCTTTTGATTTGATCACCCACTCTTAGTTGCTGAACCAGTTTGAAGCTTACATGGATAGAGCTGCAGCCATGTGTGCATGACTTTATGCACAGTTGAATGTGGAATTTGCAGTTCATTACTGGTACAGTGGATGGACTTCCTTGGGCTTCTGTGGAAGGCAGCATGTATACGTTCAACATCTTCCTTCGATGTTCTGGGCTTTCCTACACCATGCTGTTTTAGGACACTGCCAGTCTCCTCAAATATTTTCATCCATGAGTACAGGTCTCTTCAGGTCAGTGGTTCCTTGCCAAAAGGTGTACAGAATTGTTGTTGCACCAGGGTAGGTGATTTTAATTTGGCCATCCATAACACACTTGTTGAAATTACCTTGCATTATTTATTTAAATATTAGATTCTCAAATTTATTCAGTAAAAAGTTATAAGGCTTCAAAGTTCTTTCATTTCAATGTGGACACCCTGTATTATAACAGAAACATAAAACTTTAAAAAAATTCTACCTATTGTGACAAAGAACAAAAGGACAAAATAAGATTTTAAAAGGTACATCATTTTATTTTATCACAAAAACGCACTGTTGCCACTCATTGTTCTTGGTAGGCAGTGTTTAATACTGCAGAGCCTTATGTTCTTGATCATAAGTGCTATCATATAAATTAGAGTATTTACGAATTCTGTTGATACAGCTGAAACAATTAAATAAATGTTTGTGCTTCCCACGTTAATTGGATTTTCATTTTTGTAACTCAAAGTTAAATTTTTTATTAATTAAATTTTTTTTATGAATGTTACTGCAGAATAACAATTAAATGCTTATTTGTTATGACATTTAGTTTTTGCTATAATTTTCATCAATCAAGTTACAGTTTTTCTGAAGCTATTTAAAGTGCTTTATTCATTTATCAAATTTAATTAAATGCCGAATGTATAATAAAATAAATAAGCATTTATATATATATTCACACACGTATATATATAGAAACTTACACCTTGTCAATTGAAAAAATTAGATCTACGTTGATACTGCAATAAGTTTCACTAATGTACTGTTCTAAGTTGCATGTATTATATACATGTAAGTACATTACAGCTTCTAAACCAGCTGGAACCAGCAGCCCCACATCATTTCCAGTTAAAAACCAGCAATAATGTTAGAAGTTAGCTGCCTCAATTAGCTAAGATCCATCGAAGACCAATAAAACCATCATAGTTCCATTTTGACACCAGCAAGTCCAATGCAGACAAGCATGATAGCTAAGCTGACCTGTGCTGGTTTTTCCAGTAGGGCATGGCACACATGCCAAAATAGACTAAATACATTCATCAGTGGCTACCTTTGTTGCTGAATAATGAGATTATTGCACAACATTTCTTTTCAACACTGTTTAACTCAAACCATTCATCAAGCAAAAGTTTCTCATTTTGAGTATGAGAAATTTTGAAATATTGAACTAGTGAGAACAACTTCAGCATTTCCGAATTTTGCAATATGTGTACCATCAGGCCAGTACATGGTGTCAAATATGTTTTTCAAAAGAAGAGAGCTGATAGTATCAAATATTTTGTCCATATATTTTTCATTTTGATATTTTTTTCTTTTGTTCATGTTGAAATTGTTGTGCTCCCATCTCTTCCACATGTAATTTATTGTATGAAACAATTCACACTTAAATTTAGCACCAAATTCTTCTTCCTTCACACCTGATTGCTCAAAAAAGATTTTCTTGTTTATGCTTTGCCCTTTCTACAGTTAGATTAACTTGAATGATTAGCACTTTTTCCTGAAATACCTTAGATGCAGATTTATACACATTTAACAAAGTCAGTTTAAAATGTCCGAACTTTAAAATTCCCATTGTTTTTGTCCATCTTGAGTGCTATAACTTGATGCATTTTCAAGATGAATAACAACTACTAGCAAGCTTGCATGAAGACCATTTAGCGTGTGTGATGTGTGCTTACAACCCATTTTCAGTTGGACAACTTTCTGTTCAAGAATAGGGGCAACTCTATGCAGATCATACAGTCTTTTAACAGATGAACTGTAAAATGAGTAAATGTTTTTTCACATTTCTGGACAAGACAAGCATTGCTGTAAGCATCAAGTACAGCTAACTGTAACCTGTGAACAATACAGTTAAATTATACAAGTTGTGCTTCAATAACTTGCATCTTTACCACAAGACCACCTCACAATCCTTCATATTTGATGGACTGTCTGTTCCTAGCCCCACTGTCCATTCAGGATTTTTAAATTGTATTTACAATTTGTACAAAGATGTTATGATGGTTTCAAAGTAATAATCAACTGTTGCACTGGACAGTAGCTCCAAAGAAAGATAGAATTCCTCTACTTCATTCTCTTTTATGTAGCAGATATAACTTATCACACATCTTATTTTAGGTTTCTATATATTTATCTGATAAACTTCTAATATGAAGCGAGTTGCATTTTGTCTTTAATCAAGTTTTTCAGAAAAATGTCTGAAATTGGCATAATGAAACTTGTGCAAGTTGTTTAGTTTGTGTATTTATGTAAGATCTGTCCCCATTATATGTAACAATATTGTTATTGTTTTTAAACCACTGAATGATTTATAATGGTAGGCAATGAAAGACATCATTGAAAATAAGTTCCATATTTTTCAGTAATTTACTGGACATTTTCATTATACATTAAGCAAGAGGAGTTGATAGATATTGGATTATTTTTTTGCTGATAATGCTCTTGTACAAAAGTGTTGAGAGTGCTTTATCATTTTGACTCGGATATTATACCACCTCTTGAATATACAAAAAAAAAATATATTTTTAAGTTGTTACATTTATTGTAAAACATGGATAAAAATGCATGTTGAATAACAGTTTGTATTATGTAGGCCTACTACAAGTGTTAATACATAACATACATTTTTTCATTGCAAATGATATTTCACATCACTTAAAATGCATACATATCTTTTCACTCACAAGGAAGTATTTTTATATTTAGGTTGGCCTTTACAATTTCAGACCCTCTGTGAGACCTGTTCCTTTAGAGGTTCACATTTCAGGTTACCCTGGAAAACATTATTGCCCTCGAATGGCCTTGATGAATAAACCTGCCTATCAAGGTAAACAATTTATCAATGCCAAGTATATCAAAATGCTTTAGACAGCACTGGCTTCAGTTGGTAGAATAAGTTTTTGTTTTAGTATTCCCATTGAATAGTTATAGTATTATTAAAGTTAAATAATAATGTCCTGTGTAGTTTTTGTTGGAAGCTGTGTGTTTTCAAATTTGTAATAAATTTTATTCATTAACAAAATCTAATTAGATTTCATTTGGTTGTAAACCATTTTCACCAATTAATGGAAATTGTTATAAATTGATTAGTTTCATTTTTCCCTTTTCCATTATCATATAAGAAGGATGTTATTCTTAAAAAAAAATTTTCCCCCTTTTTTTTCTAGGTGTGAATAAAAAATTTTCATTTGATGATAATCATATCAATTTATTGTCCACACATTTCTTTCTGACATGTTACCACTGAAAATTTATAACAAACATTCAACTTAATTACATCAAAATGTTTATATTTTGTTAGCTATTTGCACCCATTCACCCAACAAACCAGTTCTGATTTTCGTTTCATCAAGAAGACAAACTCGTCTCACTGCTCTGGACTTGATTGCTTTCCTTGCTGCTGAAGATAATCCCAGACAATGGAATAAAACACCAGAATCAGAGGTTAGGTGGCCTTTAATTTTCTGTTTTATTTCAAATTAAGAGCTGCTTAGTGATAAGAATATCATACTAAAGAATTTGTAAGATATTGTCGCGTCAGCGAGGTCACGTGACTATTGTCACGCCACGTTTTCT